AAAAAATTAACCCTATTTTCGGAATCACCGAGCAATTCTACATAGAAATTGGATAGTGGCGTCTGGAGAACAAAAACCAAACCAAAATTTGTGATCCAGTGTTTTTATTGTTTTTCATGAAAATTTCTTAGCTATTGGTACATATTTCCTATTGGGATACCATCTTACCTACCTTAACTTCCGGAGACACATAAAGCAAAGTACTCACAGTTAGTTCGCAGATTGCAACGAATAATTAAAAGTGCAAGTGGGAGTTGGGTGTAAGGCTGAGTACACAGTGCATATACATGCATATATATGTGTGTATGTACATAAATAAGGAATCGACAGTTAGTATATATGTATGTATGTACATAGTTAAAAGTGTGCGATAGTAAGCTGCAATCAGACAAGTGGAAGATGCATATTTGCGTGAGTTTGTACTATTTGTTGCAGCAACTTTGCACAATGTACATAGTCGGGCATCAGACAATGATTTGCCGGAGCCTTTGCAGCGCCGCCAAAAGGAATAAAAAGAAAATGAGTAGATATACGAATTGGTAGTAAGGTTACTGCGTTTTGGGACATGGCATAGCATATTCATACTGCATACAAGTACATACATACTTACATACTATTTATATATGTATGTATATATTCAAACAAGTGCTCAGACTATTCAGGCATATACTATATATACCTATATGTGTTATCCTATAAAGCGAATCTTTCGTGTGCTTCTTGTCAAGTGACATTCATGGCAGCAACGTCGAGCACCAAGGCTTAAAAGCAATTTACTTGTGGAAAACTACACTGACGTACAACAATAGAAAAGAAGAACTGTCTACAACAGCAATGGCAAAGCTCAAAACAACATCAAGTTTGCTGAATATAATATTGCTTTTCTAGCAATTACACGATCCTTTTAAACATAAACACGATGTAATGAACAGCGAAACAATGGGAGCTTACAATGCAGCAACAACGACAACAGCAATAAAGTGCACTAGAGCGGAAATAATGCGAATTCATTGTTGGGCGATAAAGTTTTATTTTAAGTTCATAAGTTCGTGGAAATCGATTTTGTTTTTTATCAAGTACTAAAAAATCTTTTCAATGCAAATAAGGTGAGAAAGATGGCATTTTAAACTAAAATATGTATAAATAATACCGATAAAAAATAATGAGGCCGTAGTTTTGAAGTGAAAAAGATTTATTCCAAACTTGTACTAAAAAAAAAAAAAACATTGATTAGTTTATGCATACGTGTATCTGTGCGTATTAATGAAATGTTCATAACTACTAGGGTGTTCGATTATTCGCCTTTTCCAAAACCGGGTTTTGAGTCATTCGAAAAGCTGCAATTGTTCTCGATTTTAAAATCAAGAAAAGCTTATGGTGGTAATTAGCTAGAAAAGAGCAAAATGATTATAAAGTTTTTTTTTAGATCAAAAGTAAAGCAAATAAAAATCAGTTGAAAATTCACCATTGTTCTTATTTTATTATTTTTTTTTAAGCTTTATTGCATTTTTTTCCTGTTTTTTTCGGTTTAGAATAGTGGTTTTGCCGCCATAGCCGAGTGCTTAGAGGTGTCTACTGCCACTCGGGAGATCCATGGTTAAATTTTCGGTCCCAGCAACATCTAAACTAAATTCCGAGTGTACTTCTGCCACAAACAAAAACCCTTCTTGGGACGTGGTGTACAAGTTTAGATTTCTCCATTTGTCTCACAACATCAAGAAGCAGACCACGAATTGCAGGATAAGCTTGGCCAAACAGCGAAGAAAACGTTTAAGCCCGAAACATTCATTTATTGGAATGAAATATGATTCTGTGATCCTATTATGATCACCTTCATCCTCAAATAAGCTAGGATGTAATTTTAAAACTATTTAGGGGTTTTCCTTAAAATGGAAAAAACCTTGAAAACTTCGAAAAGCTCAGAACGTTTATTGAGAGATCAAGATTTGTATGAAATGAAAAAAACCCGGTTTGTGCGATAAAAAATCTGGTTTATTCCATATTTAAAAAATCAAGATTTCAATAAACCGCCTTTAGATATCAAAAAGACCCGCTAGAAATCGGTATGGAAAAATCGGGTCAATTACCCTAATACCCAGCAAAAAACACGATTACCACAGAAATTAAAATGGAATCGAATTAGGCGATGGGAATCGATTACTCTTTCGCTTCAAGAAGCCATTATTTTTACATGGGTATGTCGCATGGATAAACAGAATCCAGAGAAGCGAACAAAGAATGCCTTACAGAGAAACTAATATAGAATGCCTAGATAAGTACATACTTATGTTTATTGTATTAAGATATAAAAATTAAATAGATTATTATATACCATTTTAAAGGCCTATATATCTTCTTCGCAGATCATATTCGATCTTTGAAATCGAATCAAAAATAGTCATTCAAAAACTCATAAATCTACAAAATTCTATTTTCTGACCAGAATCGACCGGTCACGACCTCTAAAAGACCTTCAAAAAATCTATAAAAATAGGAAATAATATTTCTTATAAAAACGAATAAAATTAGGGGTAGGGTCTTGAAAATTTCAAAAAAAAAAAAACTTTTCGATGGGCACCCTAATGTGTTTAGGTATTTTTCGCTGTAAATTAAACAAAGCAAAACATGATTTTTGCCGTTGAAACACAATACCAGCGAACAGCGAATTTTCGCCTAGTAGACGACGACGGCAGCATCTTTCGCCCAAAAATTTCGCTAGTAAAACACAATCACGGCGACAACGAATTCAGCTGCTTATGACAAGGTACAATTTAAAATTTACAAACAACAAGATTATTAATTTTTAACAAAAACTGATACAGTATTTTTCAATTTCGATTCAAAAACCGGAGAATATTTATCATGTGGCCACAATGGATCGTATTTTGTCGCTGCCGCCAGCGACGACAATAGAAATTAGTCTATCGTCGCGGACAGTGTTCGGGCGAACGTCGTCGTTTGCCTTGGTTGTGCGTGTTCTCATATACGACACTGTGTTTTAATTTTTACAGCGAACATTCGCGGCGAAAAAATCGCCGTTCGCTGGCATTGTGTTTCAACTGTTACGCGATGGAATTGTCTACAGAAAGTAATGGTAGAAAAGAATTTTTGGGTATTTATCCTATTTTTCAGCTGACTACGGTGAAGCATTCTACTTCGCATTCCCCGTAATAAGTCAAAGCACCGAAATTAATAAAATATTGTAGAAAATTCTGCTATGCATTACCGGAAATACCTAAAAGAAGCGAACAAATTAGAAAATTTTATAAGGCAATGCGTTCTAGAACACGTTACCACAAAAAGCGATTCCCGATTTTTCGCTGGGTAACTACATACGTAATATAACCAACTATTTTGTAGCGCAAAGAAGTACAGGACCTGAGAACCAAAAATAGTATGGAGGTAATGAGAAAATGGTAAAAGCAAAATATACAAACACAAACAAATGTTATTAATTAAAATTTGGCTTTATTCAATAACCATACAAAATTAGCGCATAAAAAAGGAACAACGGTTAAACTTTCACTTCCTTAAGTTGCTTATAGCCGAGGTATATTATAAATACGAATACTTCACTTATAATTTAACGATGGTTTCTTCATTACTATTGGGACATTCTTAAGATCATAATTTTCCATGATATTACACCGGGCAATAATTTTCGAATCGGTTTTTTTAAATGAAAAGGTATTCACTTTGCAAATTGCAGCTCAAAGCCTGCTTTCCTATGGCATCTTGCCCTAAAAAAATTATATACTTTTTATGTTATTGTTGACAAAAGTTATAGTTGCTATTTCGAGATTTCGCAGATTTCTTTGTCCAGACTTCAGCAGAAATCGAATCTGTATCATCGACATGCAAAGTCAGCAAGGCGCATCCATATAAGGTGGTGGCAATTGCATATAAGTGAAAATCCCGTTTATTTTGTTATTGTTTTTTGGTACATCAGGATGCCAAAACGAAAGAAAATAGAAGATAGTTTTCGCTATTTCATTTTGTTGACATCCTACATTTACGCCATTTCGTCTTGGATGGCATTCTTCTGTACTAGTGTAGAGACAAAAATATCCAATCAGCTGTTCTAGTAACACCACCTTGTATAAATACATAGATGCGCCTTGCACTAACCGTTGAGCTAAGCACACCCCGTAAACTCTTAAACACCTTTTACTTTTTCTTGATTGAGTAGCTAAATATTTATAACGAAATGTGTCAGCTAGGGAAGTGAGGTTATTCCACAGTCATAATTTATGTGTTGATATATGAGTACCTTTTTTAACTGAGATGTCTACATTTGACTGTACTTCGAGGAACGAAGTAAAGAAGTACTGTACTTCCGAAAGAAGTACGGTTGGTCACATTATACATACATATATTCATAACTTTACTAATAAAGGGATCCTTCCTACACTGTAATACTGTATTCGTTACTCACACCGAACATCTCTATCGGATACAATAATACCACGATAAGGTGGCACAGAAAAAAAAAATTTTGGTTACCCGGCCTCAATGGTACTTCCCGAATCGAATGGTAAACACATTTAGTAGAAGTTCATATTTATTAAGTTCATTTAGAAAACGATGCCAAAGATTTTAAGAAAATATGTTTAAGTATTTGCCCTTTTGTGAAATTGCATTTGGCGTATTCGAGGTATTGCGCGCTAAGTGACGATTTATCATAAATTCATACATACCTACATATGTACGTATTAGGGATGTGTCGAATGTCATATTTTTCCCATTCGCGAATGCGAATGCGAATTTTCGGAATGCGAATGTGCGAATGCGAACGCGAATGCGAATGCGAAGTTATAATCAACTTAGGTCATCGTTTCACAAATTATTAGAACACTGAACCATAGTTTAACCCATACAGTGTTTTAATCTGCATTAACTAAAATAAGTAACTATTAATACAACTAAGTAAAATATAAATAGCACTGAGACACAATAAGAGTGAAGAGTAAATGATGGTATTCAAAATATTTTCTACTTACCCAGTAGTAAAAGTTTAATATCTTTCGCAGCCTGTATGCCATCCTCCTTTAGGTTTTTCTCGATTTGTTTTGAGCGCTGAATGGCAGCACGTTCCTCGGCCGATGTGGTGCAACCCATGATGTTCTAAGTGGTTCGTACTTTTGTGCTTGACAGTGAAAAATAACCAAAGTGTTTTGCTTCTTCCTCAAAAGCAAATCTATTGCAATGCAATTACTAATAAAAAGCGCTTGCTGTTGAACACAAGTTGTTATAAATGTTTGCTGTTTTTGTTATTGAGTTTCTGCTGCTGCTAATGCAGTTTTTTTTTTTTGTAACTTTTAGTTGTTTCTTTAAATTTTTGAGCTTGTTTTGCTACTCGTTTAAATTTAGTTTATATTTTTCGTTTAAAATATACACAAATTCGCTGCACTCTTTATTCTTTACTTTCTTTTGTTACAGTGCGTTACTCTCTTCTCTAATCGCTTACATACAAACTTCTCTACATACGTATGTATATATTCAAATATCGTTGGGTCGTCTCATGGACATTTCATTAAATCACTATGCGAAAAAATGAGTAAACAATGATTACATGCAAAATAAATTCATATTAAAACAGATGCACAAACAAATAACTATAGAGTTGGGTTCATATGTATGTTTATTTATACAGTCGGTGTCAAATATAACACCTTATTGTAATATAAAATTCACAATTATTTTCACTAAAAATTTTATTATTATTTATAAAGATATAGTTCATTCTATAACATAAACCCTAAAAATAAAAGTTTCAAACTTTATATAAAGTTAACAGAAATTCAAACAATTTTCATCAAAATTTCAAAATTTTTATTCAGAATTTCTATATTATCGTGTATGCAGTTTTGTAGCCCGTTCAATTTTAGTAAAACAAAGTGCAAGTTCAAGTCGCTAGAAACTACCGTTGATGTTTTAGATTTTTTTTTTGTTAAGAGTGTGATCAAAATCTATTTTTATATGGAAAACAAATTATAGAGATTCTGAATAAAAATTTTGATATTTTGATGAAAATTGTTTGAGTTTTTGTTAACTTTGTATGAAGTGTAAAAGTTTGATTTTTATGGTTTATGTTAAAGAAGGAACTATATTTTCATAGATAATTGATGAAAAAAATTTTTCATGAAAATAATTGTGAATTTTATATTACAAGAAGGTGTACACTTCCATTTGATACCGACTGTATGGCGCTGATATCCATAAACAACCTCTTGTCACATACGCACACGCGTATGTATGTATGTATAAATGTGTATATATGTATATAGGTGGTTTATATATTGAACACGCGTCCCCAGTTCCACACTTTTTGACAATTTATGCATGTACTATGTATTTAATTCATATGGAGCTTCGGTCTTTGTTGAAATTATTTGTTCTCAAATCATGCCAAAGCGCTTCATGTGCGAACAGCGTCTCTATATTTATTGCGAAATCGTTCCTTTTTAATATCTCATTGCGGGCTTACTGCGAAATTGTTTTATGAGTCAGTTCGTATTATTTCTCTGTTTGCGATCACTTCGACAACTGATCAAAAGTGACGACACTTTCTCGTATGCAAGTCTGACTTGACTTAAATTGTTTTGTATTGAATATGCACACGAGAATGATTAATTAGTGGCAGTTACTCGGTTTTGGGTGCGGCTGTGGCAGCGAACTGCATTTTTTGTGACGGATTACCTAACGGGCTTGACCACTACGATGCACCTGCCATGCTTGAGAAGCTGAGCAAGGTAGTGAGGGCAGTAGGAGAGAACTAAAAAATAACTTGATATTCGTAGTTCGCGCATATAAAATAGATACGATCTACCTTGTGCAATTAAAATTTTTTGTTTACTAACAGATTCTTTTGAAATATATCACATTGATACACATATTAAACTTTTTAATGTTTGCTAGCTCTGACTCGACAAGAACGGTTTGAGGGTTAACCCTTTCGATCCGACGGAATTTTAATGCTCTTACCCCCTAGGATTGTTCTATACCGAAAAAATTATACCCCCGTTTTTATTTTGAAATCAAAAAATATTTAGAGGTCGCTCAAAGTGCTCAATAGCCCTCTCGCTTTATTTTCTTGTAAAAATTAAATTTAGTATAATAATGTGCAAGTTTGAAGTGGCTAAAAATTCTCGGTAATTATTGAAAATTTTTCTGCCGACGCACATAGGGGTATTTGCCTTCAAAAGCTGGCCAAAATTAATTATGTGTAGTTTTGTAACCGATTAGCGCCAATTATAAATGAATAAATGAATAAATATATCTTTGAGCAATAAAATGATACCTGGCATGAACAATTGGTATGAACAATTATAGTTGTTTTTTTTTACAAATTATCCAGTAACTTGCCAGCAACTCTCCGGTAACTTTATTTCTAAGAATTCGCTCTCATAGAAAAAATTCGCAATAAAGTACGCGAACGCTTTTCCAGTAATAATTTGCAAGTTTCATGAACAGCTGATAAATTGGTTGCTTATTCGCAGCAAATTCCTAATAAAACAATTTATTTTGTATTTAAATAGGTTTATTTTGTGAAATTCAACAATAAAAACCCACAAACAGTTTCCTTATTAGTTTAAATTTCATCCAGCAACATGCGATCAGCTGTTTTTCGTACCCGCAAATTCTTACAAGTAAAAATTTATCCAGTAAAATCCAGTACAAACTTGCAACTTCAACTGTCATTTTTCGCTCTCTCAATTTCACCTACTTTGCAACGCCAAAACATGAAAATTCGTAAAAAACGTTTACTGGATTTTACTGGAAATGAGTAAAAAAACGCAACTTATGACTAAGTAGCTAACTAATTACTTCATTGAAATTTTTTTGAAAAATAATACAGGCCAACAAAAAAAGGAAAAAAAATTTGGTGCAGCAAATGTCAAAGCTATTTTTCATAGACTTTTTTGTGCTGAATACGAATCCGTAAGCGTAAAGTTTCGATCAGCTCTAGATTTATAGAAAAACGAGATCAAAGTGGCAAAGAATCGAGCTTTTTGCAATATTTTAGAAGCTCTTGCGAAGAAACAAAACGTGATAGAATCTTCCACATAGGCTTAAATTAAAGCTCGGCTACTATCCCTGAAAATACCATTCCTGCATTATAGACATTAATTGAACAGCAAAAACTAATTTAAGCCTGTCGACTTTCCTTTCTTTGCTACAATTTCTCAAATATTGCAAACAACGCGCTTTTTGACACTTTGACCTCGTTTCTCTCAAAATCTGGAGCTGATAGGAAACTTTTGTTGACTTTTGTTATTTTAAGCAAATAAAAAAGTCTAAGTTCGGGCAGAACCGAACATTAGATACCCGGGCAAGTGTTAAATACAGTTCTTTCACCTTTCCGAAAACTACTGCTACATGGTGAGAAGGGGTGGTTTTACCCCTATTTCTAATATCTTCGTTAAACTTATATAGTTATATGTGGGCGGTGTCACGCCCATTTTCCAAAATTCCATAATAATGTTGCTTCTTTCCAAGAGATTGTTGTTAGTATCAATTTTGTGTAAATTAGCGTCCTTTAATTTCGAAATATCAAGGTTTCAAGCATTTATGAAATTACCCGTTATTTAAAAAGGATGCGTAATTTTAGTCCGATTTCAATGATTGTGATCGTTTTGCTTTTTTGTGGCAAGCACAATAATCATACCGAGTTTAGTACAAATTTATCGAACGACTACCGAAATATACATGTGTATGTGGTCATAAGTGGGCGGTGCCACGCCCATTTTCCAAAATTTTATCATAAACGAAGGTTTCGTATTTCTCTAAACTACCGTTATATGGGACGTCGGCGTGGTTGGTATACTGTACCAAGGCCAACAACCGTGCCAAGTTTGGGGGAGATCGGTGGAGTGGTTACCGAGATATACACATGTAATCATAAGTGGGCGTGGCTATGCCCATTTTCCGAAAATTTATAATATGTATTATTATTTTTCATCTAAAAATCATTGTAAATGAAAATTTTGAGTGAATAAGCTTCAGTAGTTACCAAAATGTCGACGTTTTCGTATTTCTGAAAACTACTGTTATATGGGAGGTAGGCGTGGTTATTGTCCGATCTTTCCCATTTTTAATACCATCCGTCCTACGACCGAAAGAAGTAAACGTGCCTAGTTTCTTTAAGATATCTCAATTTTAATCGACTTATCGTGTGCACAGGCAGAAGGACGGACGGACGAACGGACGAACGGACGGACAGACAGTCACCGCTTAATCGACTTATCTTTTCATTCTGTTAATTTATGTATACATTTGTCCATATCTATCTCCATTCGTTTTGCATGTTACAAACAACCGTTATGTGAACAAAGTGCGCTCGGGTATAAAAAATTGGAGGTACGATTTGCGTGGACATGGGTGTAGATCTCTTGACCAGATCACCAAATTATGCGGATGGCCTCTTAGTGTTCATTGCCCTGTAAGCATTCTTAAGAGCGACCAATTGTGGTGGTACCACGCCATAATACCATAGCCATAGAAACCAATTGAATTTTGGTTTTCCGCCGTAGTCATAATCAGCTGATATCTGAAGTGCGAGTTCTTACGTGTTGCCAGACGTTAAAAAAAAGTATTGTTCACAGCCAACGTCTAGTCATAAGTCTAGAATATGAACCACTTAGCTATGCAAAAACTGCATTAAACTGTATGAAAATTATTTGGCGCAAAAATATAAATCAAATATAAAATGAAGACAATTAATTTATCTTTCAGCTGATGATTTGTATACTTTTTTATATTTTTAATCCAAAAATACTAAGAAACGAAAGGTTTCGTATTTTTTTCATAAAATAACTTACTTTAATAAAATTTCATAATTAATGCAAAAGAAATGTATATTATTAAGAAAGTGCAAGTTGGTACCTTCAATTTCATTTACATATTTTATTATAATCTTGAGTTTTAAGAATTTAGTGTTAATTTGGTGATAGTGAAAGAAGTTCTGCTCAAATACCCTACCATATTACACATTTACCGCGTCTCCTTCCGTCTGGCAACCCTACGAAAAATCAGCTGTTTATGGTTTTGATACCTATAATCGATAATAGTTAATGTGGTTACGGTTATGGCACTGGTTATAGCAATGGTCTTAAGGAATGTCCTGATTTCTTTTCTGACATGGTACTCAAAGCAGCTAAATATCGCTGTATTCTGTAAGGGCGTTATGCTAGATTTCCACTAGGCATTAAATGGCAAAAATGGTATAAACAAACATAGGCATTAAAAAACGTTACGTTAAAGATATAGTCATTCAATTCATTTTCACGTATCATTTTTTAAATGTCTCCAATTTTTTATCATTTTAATGCTTAGTGGAAATTCGGCATTAGGTTTCTCAAAGAATAGAGCTTTGACTGCTACCTGACTGTCGGAAAGGATTAGGATGCTTACCGAACGAAAAAAAAATAAACCATATAATTTTCGAATTGAGTTGACATTGATAGTAGCAGTTGGTCATGTCAGCGCGTTATTTTTAACTTGTTATTACTAAAATGTATCTACCATTCTTTCTTATGCTGAATTTCCACTTGGCATTGAAATGACAAAAAATGTATGCCATTCAAAAAAATGCCATGTGGAAATGGACTCAATGACTTTTTTTCACTTAATGACATGATAACTTATCAATGCCCGACTTTGCCACTTTAGCCATTTAATGCCTAGTGGAAATCCATCATTAGAGTAAATAAAAGAATCCCAAACTTAGTATTAAACGAAAGGTCTTTGTTTCTTGATAATCATCCGCTTTGGAAATGTACTTTTTTTTTGGTTTCCTACCACGCTGTTGTCTCCTTTGTGGGAAGTCTGCGTTATTGCTATATATGAGCTTTGAACGCCAGTCATATTATCACATTTTATGCGAAACTTTGCACTTATCACGATTTCGATATTTTATGTATTTTTACAGAAAATTCATTTGCATGCAGAAATCCATAATATACACATATGCACATACATACATATTTATATGTATTTACATACATTCATATAGATATATCGTTGGTATCAACATGGAATTCCATTCGAATGAAGGCGAAGCTCTTATCACCCATTTTTGTTTTTGTTCGGTGTAACTGATTAGGTTATTGCAATTGGAAGCATTCGCTGTCTCCCTATTTTGCTCCGTCTTTGAGAGCAGCCAAAGTCGCCCTGCAGAAAAAAATATCAATTGATAAAAAATAACCAACTTGTAGTTAGCTTTTTTGCGGAATTTCTATAAAAAATTAACCTGCTGTTAGCTATAAAAATCTCTGGAAAGTAGCTGAAAAGTAATCCAGGAGTAATGCAGACATAATCGGGAGATTGTTTTCTTTAAACAAGTTTCAAATTTAAATATCCTCATACACATTTTACTTTGAATACACTTTCTCTCTGCGCTTCACAAATACTTTTTCGACCTCATGACAAATAAAAGGAATATCGAAATTTTATACTATCATTTTGGACGGGTCTGACGGAATTCGAATATGGGACCACTTACAGCAGAATATGTACAAAATATGGTATGTAAACTAAACAAATAAAGAAGTAAAAATAAATTGTATTTCTTATTGATATTTCATGTCCAAAACTAGTCAGTTACAAGTTAGTTGACATCTAATGCAGAGATAACTACTCTTTAATATTTCGCTGCCATCGCCATAGAAATATAGTTAGCTTTTCTCAAAGAAAATATGTAGTTAATAATAACCTATAGTGTCTCCTAATCAACTAAGTAAACTTTTAGTTAGATACATTTCCTGCAGGGCAGTAACTTTATATTAGGACTGTTCAGGATGTTGTGGCATCCGTGCGCATTTTATTTTTGTGAATTTACAAATGCAACGAATATGCAAATGTAAGAGCATATGCACAACAGTCCTATTGTATATGTATATGCTTATGTGCACATACCCATAAATCTTTATATATGTAGGTAGATTTTTTATAATTAATATATAAACCCAGTCGGAAAAGTAGTAATGCATTA